AGTTGGCTCATTGAAGCACCCAATAAAGATCTAGCAACATCATTCGATAAACTCATTTAGCATCTAAATCTCAATATCACTAACTTCTCTTAACTCATGGAATCTTAGGTCTAGCGGAAATGGAGCAAATCCCTAATGGTGAGCAGTCACATCATGGAAAGTTGATGTTGCCCGGACTAGAGAAGGCTAACACACATATTCATGCACTCTTATACTTTCCTCCATATCCTCGAACTTTCAAATTTGTGATGATTTTGAGAAAGGAAACAAAGAAAGAAAGAACGTTGGGAATGATTCGGATACATTCGTTTAAAATGTACCAAATCTTCTCATCATAGCAACTTCATTGACCCCCCAAAAAGAAAAGGGAGCAACAACTTGGAATTGCACCACGTGGATGTCTAAGAACAAGCCTCCATTCCCCAAAGTCATCAGCTACTTTCTAAAGCGACACCCACTTTATGCGTTAATATATATAGGCAGCATAGAGATCAATCTCTCCATGCAATGTGCAGTGCATAATCCAGGAAAAAGAATGGCTAAGAATTCGCACTCTCATGGTTTAGCAACTCTTCTTCTTCCTCTCCTATTGTTGAGCTCGGTGATCTTCAGGACAGAAGCCATTAGGCCACTAGAGGGTGCGGAATTGCTCCGCGCTTTGGTGAGCACAGATCGTCTTTTCGAAAAGAAACCGTCCATCAGAATGATGATCAGTGACGCGGGCCCAAGTCCTGAAGGTCCCGGGCACAAGTACAAGGCCCAAGGGCTTGCGGGTAAAAGCGACGAGAACAGTCCAAGCCCCGGCATGGAACACAAATAGCTACGACCCGCTATTTCCAAAAGTCATTGGAGGGTATATATGCGATCAGCACATCTAAATCTTTGGAGTAGGTGGATCTTTAGTGAGACTCACTTAATGAAACTCAGACATGCAGCGTTTCGTAGATGGGAAATTAATTAGATCGTTATTAGTGTATCGTACATGTTTTATTTCAAAATGTTGGTTGCTTGACCAATTGAGAGCTATGGAGCATTGGCAATCCCTTTCTAAGCCTTGTTCCTTAGAGTAGGGACTACACACATGAGCTACTCAAGTTGTCATAGTGTACTTTGGCTTTGTGGTTCTCCTTTATCTTTTTCTTTTTTTTGGTCTGTGTGGTTCTCCTTGATTATGTTATAAGTACATATTTATTGCGTGATAACTCAGATTTAATCCTTCTTTATTAAATTTTCATGTTTTTTTTTATTTGCTTCTCTCTTGTTTTTCCAACTTTGGGAATTGCCTTTGTTGCCAATAACGATTCAATCGACTTCGAATCCTACAAGTTGAGCCACAGGTGAACAGAACACAACGTGTCATCGGCCAACTTTAATTATAGGGATCGCAATCCTTATCTTTCTTTCTATTTTTGTCACAGTAATTTCACGCATCGCCTTCTTTAGAGTACTAGTAATGACTTCATGTGTGTCACAGGTGAATGAAAAAAGTTGGACAACTGTTATTATAGACATAAGTTGACTACAATTGAAATCAATGTGGCTCGTGCGATATGTTTAATTGGAGGAAGAAGAGGGATTACAAATGGCGTAAAAAACATTCATAACGAAGATCATTTACTTCGAAATGCGAAGGAATATGTATGTTCAAACTTAGTGTCTCAAAGAGAGTGCTTGTTGATGCAAAAAATGAGAGTAAATAATATTGACTATTAGACTCAATTTATTTCGTAGAAGATGAATGATTTAAAAAATATTTTCCTAAAAAAATCGTTTGTATCACTTAAAAAATAAATAAACGAAAAATATTTTTATCGTTCATAAAAATATTTAAGCATAACTTGTTGTCAATGATGAAAATATTTTTTGTTGACTAATTATTTCAAATTATACAAGCGATCATTTTTAAGAAAATATTTTTGAAATAATTTATTTTTCGCGAAATAACCGGAGCAATAATATGCATTTATTACCAAAATCAAAGAAAGAAAAGGAAATACAAGTTTCCCAATAGATGTACGAAAAAAAATGTGTTGTTTAAGTAAAAATCATACACTTCACAAGCACCTACTGTTTATACAGCAGATATCTCGCAAGTGATAATCAATCATACAATAAACATTTCGACATCCGCATTGTCCTTGACTAACACATTTCAGGTCCCTAAACTCTCATTATACTTGATATGCGTGACAATTATGTGAACTTGATTTTGACGTTATATTGCTCCAAATAGAAATGTCTGTTCAAGCAAATATTAAGGATGTACTATTTTATTTATCGTGTTAAAAATTAAATGTTGTGTCTTGATTAGATGTGCCTTTTCACACTAGCAAAGGGTAGTTCTGATTTGTGAGATACTTTTGTTTTTGATTGGAGGAAAAAGGGAATTTTGATTAGCACATGACAAACAAACTGGTCCAAAAGTTAATGTGATCCGAACTTCCATCAACTCCAAGAGATATGTCTGTTTAAACGCACTATATTTCTCTAATTAATGTAAAGGGTAGTGTAGCCTAAATAATGTTTGAAGAAGCATGTGGGAATAAAGTTGTAAGAACGCAGTTGAACAAAGAAAGAAGTGCCATTTTATCCTTTTTTTTTTTACTAAAAAAATATTGCGTTTTACGCATTTGAACTTTTTTGAAGTTTGAGACTCTTGAAATTTTTATTTAAATATTGACGTGTAAATTTAAGTGTGAATTTGTCATAAGTTTTTTAAATCTCAGTAATATTTTAGAGTTTGACAAGTAAAGAAAACACGTTCTTTTTAGTTTGCTTAGGTGTAAACAAACGGGCCTAATTGTTGAACATAGGTTTATTGATTATTAGATCAAATTACATAAACATAATAAGTTATCGACCGTGTTTTTTTCACTCCTTTTTTTACTTAAACACTCTCTTTTTTTGTGTTTTGACCATGCTAAATCTTGTGCTGTCTACCATTTCTTTTACGACTCTACAAAAGTAATCCTTCTTTTTATTATTTTGTCAACTCTTTTTATTATGTTTCTTCTTCTTTTTTACTTGTGGATCCCATTTTCCTTCTTCTTCTTTCTTTCTACACCTTTGACGTGTGAATTATCCGCTCTTGCAAATCATCTCTCTGTTTTTTCTCTTGCAAGCCGTTCTCTTCTTTGCTCCCACTACTCCTCGTCCTCCTCCTCCTCCTTCCACAAGCCTCATCGTCCTCTATTTTCTATTTTTGATGTCAATCCCGTCATTCGACTCTACACATAACTACAGTCTAGGGTTAAAAGCAACAGCTCGAACACAAATGAAGGAACAAACGCAACATTGTAGCAGTGTATTCCAAGAAATTAATTTATGAAAACACAATTTTTATTTCAACACTCGAACATGGCGTTGAAAACTACAATCAAATTAAACCACTAATTTGAATCCCGCTTCATAGTACCTAAAAGAACACAACTCGCCTATTGCTCTAGACTTTTATGCCTACACATGGTGGAAACACATTTTCTTTATCTACATTCTCATATGAGCAAGAAGAGGAGAGAGAAAATATAAAAAAGGGAAGAGAGAGAAGCGGTGCTTCTCAATATTACTATTCATGGTGCAAGAATAGTTTGTGTGTGGCAGAGTAAAAGGGATTGTTGGGGAGGTCATCGATGAGCCCAATGCCGATACCAACGAAAGTGTGGAGGATGATGGGTTTTGTGGAAGGAGGAGGAGGAGGAGTGGGAGGCGTAGAAAAAAAAACATGGCTTGCAAGAGAGAAAATAGAGAGATGATTCACAAAAGCGGAGAAACGTCAAAGGCAGAGACAGAAAAAAGAAAAAGGAAAGTGGGATCCACAAGAAAAAAAAGAAGAAGAAAAATAAAAAGTTGACCAAATAATAAAAAAAAATGATCACTTTTGAAGAGTTGTATTAGAAGTGGTGGACCCACAGGGGATAAAATAGTCACGGTACCAAAAAAAAAGAGTATCTAAATCAAAAGAAGAGTGGAAAAAGCGTGACCCTAAGTTATTTAAATAACCATTGATATACAATCTAGGAACTTAATACAGGATTAAGTGTGATAATTAAGTTTTTTTTTCATATTTTTGTCTAATTAACGTAAAGGGTAGCTTATCCCATTTGAAGAAGTACGAGGGAACGAAAATTGCGAAATTTTTTTTTGGGATAAATGTATTGAAAGTCATAAAGCTTGTCATGAAAGTGTAATTAAATCTTAAAACTTTCAAAAAGTATAATTAAGTCCTAAAACTTATCATGAAACTGCAATCGAGTCCTAAAACTTTTAAAAAGCGCAATCAAGTCCTAAAACTTGTAAAATTGGTTCAATCAAATCCTTCCGTTAATTGCACTTTTTGAAAATTTTAATACTCGATTGCAATTTCGTAACAAGTTTTAGGACTTGATTGCACTTTTTAAAAGTTTTATGACTCGATTGAACTTTCGTAACAAAATTTTTGACTTGATTGCACTTTTTGAAAGTTTTAATATTTCACTACACTTTCGTGACAAGTTTTAAGACTTTCAGTGTACTTATCTCAAGAATTTTCCATGTTATCCATTTCCTTGTTACGTGCACGAGTCGATATCTACTTGGCCTAATTTGGATCTCGATTAAGTGTCATCGATATATAGGGAATGGAGTGATCAGCACTATCGATCACTCTGAACATTATCAAAAGGGCGTTCACCTCTTAATCAAGTTTTACAATGAGCTATAACTATTTCGTACCATATGAAGATTCGGAGTCGACAATCCAGTTACTGCAATCCATCCTTCCCACGAAATATGTTGCGACGCGAATCGAACTTGCTGAAAGATAGGCCAATCGCCTCGGGATGGATGTGCCACGAATATAATAATTTTCTTTTTCCAAGGCAAAAATTCTTGAATTAATGGTTATATGCCCTTGAAATCTCCCTACAAAATTGTCCGAACCCAAGGACCAAAAAATGACGGCGCAAACTGACGCCATCTCCTACCTTAAACCCTCCTTGTACCCTCGCCAACAAAGCTAACTCTTCCCATCTCCACCGATGGCGCATCGCTGCCTCGTCCGCCGCCTCCCCCTCCTCTTCCGAGCGCCCGGCGGCGGCGCCGCCGCGCCCTCCGCCCTCGTGGGTCCTCCGTCGCGGCCTCATTCCACCCGCGGCGCCTCGCCCGCCGAGGGGGAGCGCGGCGGCGCTGGCCGCGGCGGAGACGGAGTCAGGGGCAATTGGCTCACCTTGCCCCCGTTTGATCGTGCCGTCGTCGACGGGGCTGCTCTAGGAAGAGAGCTCTCCCGCCGCGGAAGCGCGGAACCCGGTGAAGCGGCGGCGGCGGCGATGACGGCGCTGAAATGGGTCCTTCGGTGCTGTCCGGAGTTGCCGCGGAGTCTTGTGCAGAAGCTGTTTCGCTTGAGACAGGTGATTTTGTTGGCTCCACGGGGCGATTTTAGTTTTTTTAGCATCGCTGCAATGTTCATTTTGGTGAATGTCACATTCAAAGAGTCGTTGGGGTCCGTCGTGTTGTCTCGCTAAAGCCGTGATAAGTTCATATACCTTGTGATTGTTGATTTGGAGCGTCATTAACGCGTGATTCTTGATTTGGAGTGTTGCTTGATGAACGTTGTGCGTTAGGTGACTGCTCTTGTGTCGTGATGGGACTTTGAGTTTCAAATTTGGCATTGTTCTTGTGTTGTATAATTGCAAACAGCAGGTCATTTGCTGTGTTGTGGAACTCTTGTTGATTTGTGGTAGTAGAAGTATTGGAATTTGGTAGCTTGGTTGATGATTTGACTCGAATGTCGTGATAATGAGCCGAATGTTTCACTTGCTAGAAACTGAGGCTATAGTGAAAGAGGCTTGATCACTTCAGGGTTTGCTTACTGTAGGTCCGAAGAGAGTTCTCAGAGGGTAGTCTCTCTGACGTTAGCACTCAAACAGCGGATTGTCGTCTTAAAAGGGTAAGGTTTTTGCTTGATCCATTAACTAATTCTTTCTTTTTAGACACTACACTTTTCCCTTTCACGACATGATAAAATGGATGATCAGTCTTTCTAATATTGGACGATAATGGAAGGTGGCGGCTAAAGACTCGATAAACTTGGGAGATCGAATCTATCTTCCAATCACTGTTAAAAAGTTGCCTTCAAAGAAGCAAGAGTGCCGTTGCAATTTAGAAGAAGTGAATTTTGTTCGTGGCCTTGTGTTGCATAAGGTTCGGATGCTTATGCCTTTCAGTTGGTTACTAGATTTGTGCCAATTCGCTTTAGTCTTTTCACTTTCCAATTGTACTTTGAGCAGGACGACGCCATTATTGCTGTGAATAAACCCCCTGGAATGCCTGTTCAAGTGAGCTACTTTTCTTCATTTGTTTCCTTCCCTTGTCTTCGAAGAAATGTGGATTCAAGCACTGGCTACAATGATTTCTTTGGCAGGGTGGTGTAGGCATCAGTAGAAGCTTGGATGAGGTGGCCATCACTTGTTTGAAGTATGATCACCAAGAAAACCCTCGGCTGGTAAGTGCTCTGCGGAACTTTTACAGCATCCCATTGCATTATTACAAGTAGGGCACTTTTACAAGAAGGGATGCTTGTTCAATGACATTAATGGCTTATCAAACTCTTTTGACATTTTTAAGGTGCACAGACTTGACAAAGATTGCAGTGGCATCTTGGTGATGGGCAGGACACAAACAAGTGCAACATTTTTGCACTCCCTATTCCGTGAGAAAACTGTTGGAGCATTAAACAATGTCAGAAACATAGAATATCCTTTTTGCCTTTTCTTCCAGTTAGGCTCATGTTAATTCATAGGGAACTGCTAGTAGCACTTAAAGAGTCACCTGATTCTCGAACCTTTTTTTAGGATTCTGATAGCAGAAAGAGATTATTGCAACGGAAGTATTGGGCACTTGTCATTGGATCACCTAGGCGATCAAAGGGAGTGATTTCTGCACCACTGGGAAAGGTTGGAATGTTCTTGTGCCTCTGTCTTTCATCATCGAAGATGCAAATGACTTATTCTAGAATATGATTTAGTCAACCTGTTTTATGGCATGCTATCTTTCTCTTATTTAGGAGAAAGGATACTTCGTTTAGTTATTCAAACTTGTTTTGCTTGTTAATTAATGTTTCTTTTGAGCATTAAAAGAATTGGCACCTAGCTGGCTGTGACAATGTTGCATGGCAAATGAGTCTTAACTTCCCTAGTTGATTGAGTCATGGGCTCATGGCCAGATTGGTCTTAATTTCAATATATTTTGTTATATCAGGAGAAATTCCCGAATGATTGTGATACGAAAGGAATTGAGAAGTTTACTTCACGACTGTACTTTCACTTCAATTTATAATTTATATTCAACATGGGACAAACATTACTAAACGAGTTCAAAATAATCAGGGTAGACCTGGAAGTATTTGCTTGCTTCCTGAATGCCTTTTCGGTGCCAACTCTTTACTATCTTCTAAACTTCCCACTGTCTCTGCTTTTTTTTGTGCATAGTTTTGTGTTTTACGTCCATATGCCTAGAAATGCAAATTTAGTAGGCGTTCTACTTTCTAAAGTTGCTTCAGCATTTTGCAGAAGACTGTTAAACGTTATCATTTGACAACCTGCTATCTGCATATTTCTGTGGAGTATTGATGGATTGGACTCTTATGCTTTGAAATGGTAGTTTGACTGTAAATTTTGATTTTCTAAGCCTATTAGGACACTAGTCACACTACGTCTTCTGTTTGACATTGAAGGACTTCTATATATTACTTTACTTTCTTTCAGGTGCTGATGGACAATGGAAAATCAGATCGTATTACCATTGTCAATAACAGTCAGACGATCCCATCTCACCATGCACTAACGGAGTATCAAGTAATTGAGTCTCGTCATGGTGAGTGGTTGATTCTGACTGGTAGACATCTTATTAATTTGTAGAATTTTGTTGCGATGGGATTGATATGCTTCCTACAAAATTGTTTTGCCCTTCGTAAAGGTTTTATCTCTAGTTGTGACCAGAGTACGTGACCAGATCATCAACAGTCTATTGCAGTGTCCCGGATTGAAGAAAGCAATGACTTTCAGATTTCCTATTGGTCATTAAAGTTGTTAATATCATTAGCATCTGGTCTAATCTAACCTGTTTCTTGAAGTTGAGTGCGTCATTACTTAACTGGGGCATTCTATTGCTGACCGATCTTGCCAATAGAGCAGATCCCTCTCAAACCACGCGTTTAGATGCTTGAGGTCTTAGGATGCATTCTTTTTTTTTTCATTTTTTAGCCGCAAGAACATCGAATGCCATGTATATACTAAATAATGCTTGGCATCACAAAATATAGAAGTGGGGAAAGTAAGTCAAGGGCTTTACTTGTGAACTTGCATGTTTTTCACGCTATTGTCTTCTAATGCAGGCTATACATGGCTAGAGCTGTCACCGCTCACTGGAAGAAAGCATCAGGTATGTTATAACCAAGATGTTTACATTCCCCAAAAAGAACTTGAATCAAGATTTTATCTTATCAATTTACGTGCACATCTTTGACTTCCACTTTGGACATATTCTTCCACCTCTGTCCTCAACAGCTTCGAGTGCATTGTGCTGAGGTACTGGGAACTCCAATAGTTGGGGACTACAAGTATGGCTGGCAAGCTCATAGAAACTTCAAAAATTGGCAAATATCAAATTCTGAAGAAAGTTTTAGCAGGAAACTTAAGGGGAGGGCTCTTCCCTTTGGCCTTGATCTGGATAACGGAAGCATTTCTGATGAGCGACCTCGCCTGCATCTACACAGTAACCAAGTTCTATTGCCTAATATTGCTCTGGCTTTGCAAAACACGCAGCTATCTTCAGGATATGGTTTGTCAGAACTGGAAACTCTTGAATTGGTTGCTCCGCTGCCTCCATACATGCAAAAAAGCTTAGATTTTTTGAAATGACAATCTCATTGGAAATAGTCGAACATTCCAATGGATCAAGCTTGTTAATGATGATGCCGTATTCTGCATCGGATTGGTTAAACATTAATATCAGACCAGTGGCATTCTCTGGGGTCTAGAAAGAGTACACTAAAGAACCATGTGAAGAGGATGTGTGTTTTTCCTCAGTTAAAATGATGGTTTGAGCATGGAAGAGCTCGAAGCAGTCAACTGAGTTTTGTTAAGAGGCAGATTGTTGACAATGTTGTCTGTCTCTAGGATAAATGAATGTCGCCTCGGCAGATGGAGTTTGTCAAATAGGATGGTACTCCTCAAGCAAATGAAGCAGTTAGACAACTAATCTTTAGCTGCATATTAGCACTGGGAGAAAGCAATTCGGCGAGTCCATTGAATTGTGAAAGGGTAGTGGGCAAGAGTTTGATTATGGGCAGTTTTGGTTCTTATCGAATCTGATTTATTTGCTATGGCGGCGGACAGGGCCGTTTTAGTTTTTTGATTGATTCAGCATCGGGATACAATCCCATGGGCGCCCCGATTTGGAGTTCTTTAGAGTCTTACCATTCTTTGAACATTCTATACGCAGGAGGTAGTATGCAATTTCGAGATATGCTCATTTGGAGGATCAAGAACTCAACTTTTGGTATGAACTCTTTTTACGACACACTGTATAGCTAGTACCACCAATAGATTTCTCTGGAGGCAGTTCTGGAAGAGAAAGGCCCCTGTTGCTAGTCACAGGTCAGCCAGATTCTAACTTACAGGAATCTTAGATTGTTACTTGCCTACGCACGAAAGAACCTTTTGACCATGTTCATATTTACTGTAAGTTTAGCGAGTGCAATTTGATATGTTTTCTTGGAATCTGTCTGAGTCATGCCACATGATGTGAAATCTGCTAAACTGCATCATACCTTCGAAGAACAAATTTATCTCTATCATGCATTAACTGCAGATCCATCAAGGCCTGGTGGAGCATCATCTTCCCCCGACTGATGAGAGATCTTGAGACGAGAACCATCCATGCTAGTATCAAAATCTAATCAATTTGCATGCCGCATGTTTCGGAGGACCGGCGCAATCCCAGCAAAGCAAAGTACGACCTGAAACTGCCGGCACTGGGTCAATCCACTCAGTACTGTACAATAACTTCACCGTCTCTGTGTTGTTTCTTGGAAACTTTTGGCATGCATATGGAACATGAGGGCAAAGCAATGATTAACGAAGTTAATCGAAAGTATTAGCGAAATGGTGAAATGAACTTTATATTTAAGTGTAGATCAACACAAAACCCTAGTTATTATTCATGCACTAGGCGTGCATCTGAACTGTTTGAGGGGAGTGGGGAATATAGTACTTGTGATCGTGAATAGGAGGGGCATTTCAATCGATTGAATGGAATGGAATGATCAGATTAGATGGCACTACGAGCTGGTGGACCAGTGAGTGCTGTTCCACGATTTCGATGCATTTGATGGCCGACACCCTTTTTTGGATCCGAGTCCATGTCAATCATAACCGTTAATTATGTGAGAGTCCATATGGCCGATGGCTGAGATGGATCTTATCCTATGGACTTGGTCTCGGTATAAAAAAAAAATTCTGGATTCGAGCTCCTATACCGAATGGTTAATCATCGAGACCTCTCTTATGCTTGGGTTGCGTCTCGAGTGTTAAACCCTCTTATGATATAATAAACTTGTTCATGTAAATGAACTTTAGATGTCATATTTAAAGCAAAGCACTCGGATTTTGCCAAAGTTACATTAACTTTCATACACTCACGGGCTTGAGGGACATAAAAATCTAGATGCATGGTCTCATAATCCACGAAATCAGACTTATATACGACATAAATTGCGTTTTTGTAATTTGTATTTTGTTGTCTGCTATGTTTTGGCCTCAAATATTTTACACATGTCCACGATCAAGACCTGTTATGAGCATGTATAATACATAAAACTGAAAAAAAAAAGGACTAATAAACATTATATTGTCAGCGGCTAGAGTACAAAGCTTAAATTAAATAAGGTTGGTGCTTGGCTGGACAAAAATAAATAATAATAAGTGCATTAGTTACGGAAGGTACGGATATATAATTGGTGATTTGCTCTTTCGAATCTAAGATCTCAAATACTATACGCATCGCAATTCTTGAGATTTATCATGAAAAATAATATAGTCCACAAAAAATTGGAAAAAAAAAATGCTAATGTTGAATTTAATTTGTTTAATGTGTATTGTTTGGTATGCAAAATGGAGATACATTCGATCTACTGAGATGATCCAACACGCGAGCCTACTATTAATTTTAGACAAATCACGTTGAGGTGTGATATTTCTTTAATTTCTAAGCTAAAAATTTTATGGGTGCCTATTATTGAGATCTGTTTTAAGATATAAATAGCTAAAAAAAGAAAACAACCAAAAAAGATTAATCATATAAAATTTGTTTTCGGTAAGTTTTTTTTTATGGGTCAAATTTTCGGTAAGTTGAAAAGGAGTAATAATAGAGCCATTGTCATTCAAGGTGCATATACATTAAATCTTTAAACTAATGTAGGGAAAATTGTCCAAAAAGTAATAAACATATTGTGCGGTGGCAAATTCAGTCCTACACTTTTCAATTGTGCCAGTTAGTCCTAAAAATTTTAATTGTGCTAACTTAATCCTAAACCCTCGGGCGTGGTCGAGTCTCACCAGCCTCTGGGAAGGGTCAATCCTTGTCGGGCTGGCAAGGTTTAGAACTAAATTAGCATACCAATGAGGGGATCTATGCTGAGAGCCAGGGAAAACAAGGTCAGTTTACAGTAGGTATACTATCTCACACGAGCGAACCTCTTGTTCAAGTCCTTCAGGGACTGCCTTTTAGCTGTAAAACTACCCGGAGATTTAGCTCAGAGCATAGAGACGCTCAAAGTGACCAGGATGATGTTATGCCTAACTGGCCGAGCTGCATTTCTTAGAGGATCATGCCAGGCTTTAAAGAAAAGGATTTTTAGAGAGGCATGGAAAGTGAGAACTCTGAAATTTCACAACTTTCCCTCTTATTCCAAACCGAAGGATTACATGGCCTTATATAGGTGTTGGGGAATATATGCTGGACGAAGGTCCAGGTAAGACAAAACACACTTAGAACGGGGTACATTATTGGACTTCTGTCCACATAAAACAAAACTCACCTAAAACTAAGTACATTATTGGGCACACCTACAACACACTCATAGAACACTTAAAGCCTATTCATAGGTGAAACATGACCCGGCTATGATATGCTAGAACAAACAGTGCTGGTTAGGTGGAATAGTACAAGCTTATCTCCATCCAGAGTTATAGTCATAATCCGAGCTGTTTGAACTGTTTGCACATTCATATTCTGCTATCTGTCTTTGTGTCAGAATATGTTTGAAATTATCTTCAGTGATGACTGGCATTGGGTTCGAGGAAGAGGATGCATGTGTCGAAAGGTCTGGAAGAGCAGTATTTGGAGTGTTTTGTGGTAACAGGAGTTCATTCCACATTCTGATGCCAAGGTTTGGCTGTGGATTTTGTTCAGGTAAGACTGGCTGAGGCAAAATTGGCTGGGGCCAATTTCCTAGCTGTGACTAGTGAGAGGCAGAGCTGGCATCAAGTCTAACGGATAAGGACAATGGTCCATAGTCATAGGGGTCTTGAGAGAGTGGTCTATCCCATGGATCCTGAGATGATTGTACTAGATCTTGAGATGAATGTGCTGGATCTTGAGATGACTGTGCTGGATCTCCTATGTCTGACATTTCGTGATCTTGTGATAATCCGAGCTGTGCTTGTGCCTGTTCGTGCTCGTATTTGCTGAGTGCTTGTCTTGTTACTGATGAAGATCCTTCGTGATCCCATGAAACAGGTGTGAAGTAATCCCATGCTTCTTCTGGGATAATACGATTTTCTTGGCATAAGATCCTCTGAAGTTCTCTATAATTATATTCAACAGAACCAATGCGACTGGGGAACGATTTATAGACACGTGCAACTTGTAGTTGTGACTGGGGCTTGTAGGTAGTAGTACCTACTAAGGCAGGAGTATTGGAAATGGTACCATTATTGTGCACAAAAGTCCAAGGACAATGGAAGAGTACAACAGTATGTGTTTCCGGATCATCTCGGACTTTTTTCAACTCTTCGAGAAAGAGTCGTTTCCAATAAACAGGAGGGTAAAACCATTTGAGCACAGTTAAAAGGTTTTTCTCGTGTTCATTGAGCCCAATGTAATTAGCTATGAGCAAGTTGGTTAATTGGAGAAAAAATTTTCTGGTGGGAAACTCAATAGCTATTAAGTACTTATTGGTTAGATACCATAATAGCCATTTAAGTTTGTCAGGAAAATCATTTTTTCTCGAAAGTAATGGGTGAATGAAGGGGTACCTCAAGTGTAATCCAGAAGAGTCAAGAATAGATCCTCCATGGTGGCGAAAAAGGTCTGTGTGGCATTGCCACATGAGGTTGTCAAGATTTTCAGTGAGCTTATCTTTTTGAATTTGCTTAATTATTTCTTGGGGATATTCCAGGCTTGGCCAATCTCGGAACCGTTCAATCTTGTACTTCTCTGGCCGGAACGGGAAGGAATGCCTAAGAATATACATGTTGATTTCTGCCGATGCTTTTGGTCTGGAGAGAAAATCTGCAAGCACATTCTTCTTTCTGTGATGTGTTTGGTTTCGAAGGAGTATTTCGAAAACCATTAAGCCCATCCCGAGTAGGCGAGGATGAGGGATCCGCTCACTTGAATTTGGTCATTTGGGGAAAAGAAGTCATATTCAGTTCTACTAGAAAATGGTGGCCAATAAGATGGAATTCGAACTTTTTTATTTCATTCTTTACTGCCAAAATTTCCTTGAAGGTAGAATGATAATGCATTTCTGCTTGAGAAAACTTGCTACTTTTGTAAGCGCAAAGATGTCGCTTACCATGAAGTTCTTCGAACAATATGGCCGCCCAATATTCATTACTGGCATCAGTCTGCAAAATTCTCTTCCCTGTGGATGGGATTTGCAGAGGGGGAAGATCTTGCGTAATTTCTTTGAGTTCCGCAACTACTTTGGTTTATGCCTTTCCCCATGGCACTAGGTGCTTTTTTAACATCAGTTGCAAAGGAATTAACAACCTTGCAATATTCGGGACAAAATCTTTAAGATAATTGATTATCCTGAGAAATTATTGAACTTGCTGGGTTGTAAAATTCTTTTTAGGAAATTTTAGTAATTCCCTGGCGATGTGCGGTCCTAGATAATATGTACCTTTGTTAAGGTGCATGCCGAGGAATTCAACTTATGTTTGGGCAATCGTCATCTTTTAGAAAGCAGATCATATTTCTTCATAATTAAGCCAAGTGAAAGATTCTGGGAAGAATATGTCGCAATATAGACAAACAGACAAGATCGCAATATCGAAATAGCCTTGAAAAGGAAGAGCAACCTTGAGACCAAATGGAAGAACTCGCCATTGAAAGTGTTGGTTGGGGATACGAGAATTCCGTTTTGGTCTATCATCGGGATGAATGCCCAATTGCCAAAATCCGGCTTTAAGATCAAACTTTGAATAAATATGGGTTTTAGTGATTCCCGCAAAAGGGAATTTCGAGAAGGCAAAGGGAATTTGTCATCTTGGAGGAAAGATTAAGAGGTGGTAATTAATAACCAATCTCATTTTTTCTCGATTTTGCTCAAGACGTTTATTGATATAGAAAGCTTCACAAGCCCATTGAGAATTTGAAGTTTCAATAAGGCCTTGTTGTAACAATTTTGAGCATTCTTTTTGAGCAAGAGCCAAATGCTCTGGATTCATTCCGAGTGACTTGCCTTAGTAGGATTTATATCCTCATTTTTCTT